CGGTCTCGCAGCTCAGTCGCTAGAGCGTTGAATTCCGCGTGGCGAGAACACGCGTCCCGGTTACAACACTCCGAGTTCGAAGCATGACCGAAGCTCGGTGTTTATGAGCACCCTGACGGGTACGCTAATAAACGGGTATGGTTGCGGTTGGTGGCTATAGGAGGATATCTATAGGAATCTTGGTTGGTGGCAGGCCACTCGAAAGCAGTGAGGTCAAGTAATGGTTTTGAAAAAGTGCGCCGAAGGCGCGCCAAATTTTCGAATCTGAACAGGATTTGAGAGCAATCTTGCAAGATTGCTCTTGACCCGCGTGTGGTCGCCAATGCCATGGCATTGGCGACCACACGCGGGTCCTAGGGTTGGAGATTATTGCAAGTTAAGTGATAAATATCTATATGTTTTCAAATATAACCTTATGTTCAATGATTGCGAAATGCAAATGGTTCCAAAATTAATTCCAAAATTAATTACAACGCCTCTCCGACGCCTACCCCGGGTATAAGCTACCTGCGGGGAGTATTGCCTTCAGCATGGACGTCACCAATCTCTATGGAAACATCCCTTATCAGGAAGCCATCGAGAGCGCCAAGAAACTGCTGGACTTGCATCATACAAGAATCAACATGTTCGGTCTCAACACATCCGACGTCACCCATCTCCTACGCCACTGCCTGTCCAACAACTATTTAAGATTTGGTGACAAATACTTCCGCCAGACGACTGGTATCGCCATGGGAAGCCACGTAGCCCCACCACTAGCCATCATCTTCATGGGACACCTTGAGGATACCTTCAACGATAGCGCACTTCTCAAACCGGACATCTACATGAGATACATCGATGACATTTTTGGAGTGTGGACTCACGGACCAACTAGTCTCAAAGAATACTTATCCCACATCAACGAAGCACATCCTTCAATGAAATTTACCATCGAGTCGACGGAAGACAATACACCAATCCCCTTTCTAGATACCAAGATCACAGTTTACCCTTCGGGAAAGTATACAACGGAACTTTACATCAAACCAACATCAGCCGGGATTATACTTCACGCAGAGTCGGCTCAACCATGGAAGACTAAAAGGGCAGTGCTTCACTCACAAATACGACGAGCCATCAAGCTATCAAGTGACGATAACGCCCGACACCGAAGCATCAACAAAACAAGAGAGCTCTTCGCCAACAACGGGTACAACGTGAAGACCATCAACAAGGCGGTGGACCAGTGCATGAAGACGACCAGAGCAAGAACAAGAAGACCGAATGCTTCCGCAGTCAGAATGGTGCTACCATTTGTCGACGACGAGCTCGCCAACGCGGTCCAGTCAGTCGTCCGGAGGAGTAGCCAACCTGACCTGGGGTTGGCCTGGACTAATAAGAACACCATCAGGCACCAACTGGTCCGGTCAGCCCTCCAGCCTCCACCCTGTCCCGGTGGCTCTCGATGCCACTCGTGCGCCGCCGGACTGAAAGGAAGATGCCACAGCTCAGGTGTGGTGTACCAGCTCACGTGTGAACTGTGTAACCAGAGTTATGTTGGTGAGACGGGACGTTCGGTGCGCCTCCGCTACAACGAACACTTGCGAGATGCTAAAAACAAGCGGAATGACTCCCCGTGGGGCGAGCATTTCCGAACACAGCATCCCCAGTGTCGGCCGGGACCCCATAATGTAAGGGCAAAGATTCTGCAGGCATGCGATGAAAGTAGAGGCAGAAAAATAGCGGAGTCTCTTTGGATCAAACAGATTCGCCCAGCTCTAAACAGCAACATAGCGGCCTGGGCCATCATTTAAAGGGTAACGAGTCATAGACCAAGGGAAAGAAATGAGGAACTGATCCTGTCCTGTAGTACTCTAGCATTTACAACTTCGCTATTGTAACGTCTTCTGTTCTGATGCCTTTGCCACTGATTCACTGATCATGTGTGTATTACTGAGTGACAAGTGGCTTTTATATTCAACCATATTGATGAATGATATGTGAGAAAATGAATGAATGAATGAAGGACTGAATAATTGGATGATTGTATGAATGAATGCATGAATGAATGAATGAATGAATGAATGAATGTATGAATGTATGGATGAACATGAATGATTGAACGATTGAGTATTGTTTCGAGGTTTGAATGAATGGTTTAATGGTAAAGTACTTATGCTCTTTGATGTAAGATGGTGGCCTTTGATGTCTTGATTGTCTAATTATCTATAGCTGAGTGATGTGTGAGTACATGGATGGTTGGATGTTTGACTGATTGCATGGCTCGATGGTTGAATAGACGACTAGATGCTTGTGGTCTAGTGATTGATAGATGATAGGGATGAATTAATGTGTAAATTGTGGACACATGTATTATATTTATAATTTATATTTATATGAAAGGGTACCTTGTGAACATTTCAACTGTAAGATGGTTGTCTATTTTGCGCGAGAATTTACCAATGTGAGACTTCCTAACTTAGCTGTTATCGACATATTCTGGCGCTGTTGTGTGTGACTGAATGATTTAATTTGCAATTCTGAACTGAAGAAGGACAGTGTCCGAAATATATTCATTGGTAATTAATTTTGGAACCATTTGCATTTCGCAATCATTGAACATAAGGTTATATTTGAAAACATATATATGTCATAATGCTGTTCATACAAGTACTTCGCCATTTACTTGCGATAAATATCTACCTGATTTGCAAAAGTACGCCCATGGGAGTCAACATACGAAGAGCGAGAGATTTCTGTTCTCGTATGGAGACAGCTTTTTAGGATTTGCAAGAGTGGAAAAGTTACCCCGGCCGCGCCGGGGTAGGCTGAAAGTTACCCCGGCCACGGCCGCGGGGTGGCCGGGGCAGGTTCTCCACCCATGCAGTAACCACAACAGTTATCTTCACACTTACGGGAGAAGGGGGAGGGGGACTGATTGAGTTTCCTTGTTTGTTTGTTTTTTTTTTTTGTCGCAAATAGGGCCGATTGTAAAGACACTTCCAGGCAGCAACTGCTGGAACGGATGGTCGTATAAATACGGGGAAACAACACTCAAAAGCTCGCAACAAGGCGGATCTTTGCACATTAATGCTGCATAAGTGGTAGTGGTACGTTAGGTACCGACCATTTGAACATTTGAGAAGTCGGCCATGCGGCGGCTGTGGCGTATCACAGCCTGACGGGCGCTTCCCGATACGGCACACTGAATACGAACAAAACAGTGCCGGTCCGCTCCCACACTGCCGCAGCGCGCGGCGAACAGCTGTGCAGCTCTGCAGCCACAGAGAGGGACTCATCTAGAGGGCTGGTACGGTCACAGCTCACAGGACGCATCTGGACCGCCCCCGAGGGTTAGTACATTTCAAAGCTCGATGTGCACAGGATAGCCTGCGCTGCTGCAACGGACCGTTGCTGACGGCAGGATCGTCCCACACCACACGGCCACAGCTCTGTGAACCTGCCACCCGACTGACATGTCGTTGGCCAGGTCTGGCTGTCACAGATTAACAGGCATGCAAACATACATTTGTGACAAAGGACAACCATAACTTACCTGTGACCGGCACCGGCAGTCGGCACGTTATCCGCGGCGGGCAGTTCATCATTCTCGGAACCGTGCCCAAGCCATGGCTGTTAATTGGATTAACAATGCCTCACACATTCCTGTGCCCATTGGGTTGCCTGCACGCCGGCTGGGCGGCGGCGGTGGCCCGCTCGGCCTGCCGACGCGTCCGATCGGCCCGGAGCGCCCGAGCGGCGCGGCCGGGTTCCGGTCGGCGCGTGCGGCGCGGCGGCCAGCTGCCGGCGGCGGCGGCGCGGCGGACGCAGCCACCGGCCAGCTGACACGCCGCCGGAGGAGCAGCGGGCTCGGCCAGCTCGGTCACACGTCGACGATCGATTGTGGTGGTTAGACGCGGCCCAGACGGCTCCGTGGGGCTTCCCGGCGCTGCTGGGAGCCGGCCGGCAGACCCGGCGGACGGACCAGGAGCGGGCTGAGACGGCGCCGGGACCGACGGAGGCCTGAGTCTCGCGCTGATCGACAGAGAGAGCAGTGGAGTGACGAGTGACGATTGGACGGTACAGGACCCTCCAGCCAGCTCATCTTGAAAAAAAGGAACCATGCTGAGAAGACAGGATACGGAAGGTAAATGGCAAGGCTGGTGATATTCAAAGTATCAAGCACTGCGCCGTTACTCGTGTTCGTTTTATGGAAGCGGTGGACGATAACTTTTGCATATGATTGAGACTGAGTGCTGTGCTACGATTTCGGGACTGGTGAGACTGAGAGACTTCAGAGGCATCTTGGGTCACGTTCCAGTTGTAATTATCATACCAGTGCACTGGTATTGACCTTTAGTGACCCCTGGTGACAGCCACTGCAGTGGCTCAATCGTGCACATCTGCAGAACGAAGGCAGCAGGCTCATTTCTTGCATCGGTGGAAAGAAGGACTTGACAAATCTGACAAATGGCCACGGACACTGAGCCACCTCCCACGACGCAGCTGCCCCCATGGCGCCAGGAACTGCTGCTCCTGCGGCGCCGACGGGACGGTAGGGTGGCCCCCACCAGCCGGCCACCGCCCCCGCCGCCGCCCCCGCCGCGGACCCCGGCCGCCACCGCTGGAGGGTCCGGCGGCTCGCCGCACCGGCAGCCCGCCAGCCGCTACATCGACGCGTTCGGCGAGATCGTCGGCCTGCCGTCGCCGCGCAGCGCCTGCGACGAGCCGGAGTCGACGGCCGGCGAGCTGCAGTACGGGCCGGGTATCGTCTCGCGACTGTGCAGTCGCTACCAGTCGATGGCCGGGCGTGTCGCCGCCACTCCGTGCGACGAGGCGATGCGGCGCGCCGCCAGCCTCCAGGACCTGCTGCGCCGAGAGGGGGCGTTCGAACGGGGCGCTCTCCAGGACAGCTACCTGCTGACGGGCGGCGGCGCGCTCTCCGCCCCGCCCGCCTGGGCCGAGTCGATAAGGAAAGCAAAGTCCGTCGGGGACCTGGTATCGCCGCCGCTGCCGCCGCGGACCGGTGGGCCGGGACAGTCCGGTGAGCCCGCTCGGACAGATAGAGACGGGCGGCGACGTGTGCCGGTCGACAGAGGCAGCTCAGAGCCAAGGTCGACGCCCGGGAGGACAGGACCAGTGAGGGCGGACGCAGCGGGCACGAAGACGCTGAGAGCACCAGCCGTTGGAGACAGACGAGCTTCAGTGACGGCAGGTGAGAGGTTTTCGAAGGTGAGGTCAGCCGGTGCCCCCAAAAGGACCGAGGACGCACCTAGTGCTGATGTACAGAAAGTGACCTTGTGCAAGAAAGAGACGCCTATAGCAAAGCCACGCAACTTTGAAAAGAACTCGAAGACAGGACGAACTTGCCAAGATGTGAAGGAGAATAAAGCACACGGGAAGAAATTAGAGGTGAGTTCAGTCGGTGTTTCAAGGTCGAATGGCACGAAGCTCCCGCGGAAAGAACCGCGTGAGTCAGCAGCGCAGGTGATACCAGCACCGAAAACTGTAGGAAACAGGGTAGCTTTCAGGGGTGAAAAGTCAACCACGGCAGCCAACGGGTCGCTAAAGACAGTCAATAGTTCGCAGCTAATAGAGAGCCAGTCTGGAGGAGGGTGTCCAGGATCTCTGGGCGTCACCATGAAGGCGGACGCAGGCGGGCCACTGGTGGTCCCTCAGCCACTGCAGGACAGCCTGCCGGCCAGAAAGTCCAGCCTGCCGACCGCCGACACGGTGAGCAACGTGAAACGACTGTTCGAGCCGCCCTCGGGCGGGGGCGGGGGCGGGGGCGGGCCGCCGGAGCCGGAGAAAGGCAGCGCGTCCGGCGGCGGCCGGCCGGCCGGCGCAGACGCCGCGTTCCCGCCCGCCGCGGATGACGTGCCGGTGCCGGCGGACCGCCCGATGACTGTGTCAGAGAGCAGCGGCGAGCTGCGGCTGCCGCCGGCGCAGCCCGTGCCCAACGGCCGGCCGGCGCCGGCGCCGCTCCGCGCCAGGAGCACGGTGGGACTGCTGCTGAGCGGCGGCCGGCCCGTGGTGACCGGGCCGGTGCTGCCCGACGGCCCGGTGACCAAGGCCTCCCTGGCGGCCGCCGTGAAGCGCAGCAGCCCTCCGCTGACCGGGGGTGACCCGGCCCGGTTCAGCTCGGCCCAGGCGGTAAACGCCCGCCTCATATCCGCCGCCGCGGAGACCTCCGGCGAGGCGACCGGTAACGGAGCCGGCCGGCCGCCGGCGCCGGTCAACACCACACTCGCCTGGCACCAGCGCGTCAACAACAGCATCCTGTACAACTTCACCGACCGCAGCGAGGTGCCAGACTACATCGAGGATGACGGCATGGACATCCACCGCCCGGCCAAACCCAAGGTGAGCCCACCAATCGACGCTCCGTCCCAAGGAGTTGGACGTAAATGTGACGTACGGACCGCACATACCCGCATATATACGGTACACATGGCACATGATTGTCGTATATGCCGATTGTGCCTTGTGAATGCGTTTTCTTCCTCCGAGCGTTAGCGTTTGGTATGTACCTACGGGTCTAGGTACACAGCGATAGTAGTCAACCGTCATTATCATTCAATTCTCAATGAATCCAATCAATTTGCTTTGTATGCCAACTCGTAGGTTGTTTTAGTTGTTCTAACTAAATTAAGCATATATGAAGCTCAATACCCTTCAAGATAAACTTGACTGGCGCTTCCTCAGTTGCCGGCGCTCGCTTCAACTACAAGTGGTTCTTAGCCGGCTGTCCGATAGCCATCAGACGCCGCCTTATCAGACTGCAACACTCAGGGCTTCAGCGGGCTTTTAGAAGTGACCTTCCACCAAATTTGGACATTTCTCATGCTGGGTTTTATCATGGAAGCTCATTGGGGAGGGGGGAGGAGTGGGAACTGGGACATGACCACGTACTTTAATATTCCTCACAGATGCTCTAACGAATTGTAGCTGGCAGCGGCCTTACCCATCCGTTTATTAGGGTCGGCGGCAGCCATCGTATATAGTTAGGTACTCGCTGAACCATATACTGATACTCGTATATGGTAACTCTTATATCCAGCGACAGCCCGTACCTATTTAGTATGGTCGCTTGGCGCCAATCTAACACAATGCAGATATACATTCAGTGATGCATATTACCTATTTTGCACTGGGTTTTAGTCTAAAGGCCTGGCTACACTATGCGTTTTCTGCGTGCGTTTTTTGCGTGTTTGCGTGATTTGCGTAATATCGTTCTAGAAAGAAACGACATTAGGTACGTTTTTGTATAAAAATGTTATGAAAAACATATGTATATGTTTTTCATATCAACTTTTAACTAATATAAAAGTTTTAATTATTTTTAAGTAAATATTAACCCGCGCACCGACGGGGGTCTGCGCCAACTTCGCACCGACGGGGGGGGGGGGCGGATGACCGCCCCCCCCTGAGATCTCGAGAACGAAGCAAGATAGCGACAAGCGGTAAACGGCATCGGATACGCACGGTCAAGATCTACAATTTTTACCAAGGTCATTTTCAGGTCAGGTCAAAGATGACGTCACAGGGGTCGAAAAAGTCAAAATGGCGGCGCTAGATATGGAGAGGGTTTTTCTCGAATAACTTTCGAATTAGTCAAGATAGGAACAAACTAAGGGCATCATCGTGATCCTCTCGTCAATCCGCATCGAATGATATACATGTTGACCTCGAAAGGTCAAGGTCAAAGGTTGACCTCAGGTCACGTGACCTCGAGGTCATCATGTATATCATTCGATGCGTCTTGACAAGCTGAACACAATGAGACCATCCACGCGTCTGTATCTTGTTCCTGTACGGAGTTATTGGCCAAAAACCTTTGGTGACCTTTGATGACGTCACATGACCTCACAGCTGCCCAACAGCAAAACAGACCTCAAGGTAGTGAAGGTTGATCGTATATGAAGTCATGTATGGTATATGGGGCCATTCCGACCCGTTTTAGTGGTAAAAACAGGGAGTTGATTTTTCCCCCATTGACTTATAATGGGGAGGTCGCGAAATTGACCTGACCTTAGGTCACCGATATCAAAATTCCGAGATATACAAATTGTAGCTACTAATGACCTAATAACATCCTGCGACTTTCAAAGGCCTCCGACATCCACTGTAGCTCTGGCACGGTGACAAAGTTGCAAAAAAGTGACTTGAGGTTGGGTCATTCAAAGTGACCTGGTGACCTGACCTTGAAAGGTAGGAGGTTCAAACTTGCACACCATGTGTAAAATTGATGAGGGTATAGTCATACCAAATTTCGCGGCGCTACGCGCCGCGGTTTTCCCGCTATTCGCGAAAAACCTCAGGGGGGGCGGATATCCGCCCCCCCCCCGTCGGTGCGCGGGTTAAAGAAGTTATATTAGAAATAACTTTTTTCCAGAACGATATTACGCAAATCACGCAAACACGCACGCAGAAAACGCATAGTGTAGCCAGGCCTTAAGCCTCATGCTATTGCATCATAATAGCCCCATGCTGTCCTGTGGGCTTGCCACCAGCGCTATCCGTCCGTTGTTCGTTCATCATGAATGGAAGCCATTGAATGATGGCAATCAGCTGCTACTCTGGTCCCTTGAGTGGGATCACCACTCATCAGGGCTCAGCTCAGCCAACGAAGAAGGTACTCTCTGTGATTGACCCCAGACGCGCGACCTATCGCACCACTATGTGTGGTCAGCCACGCCGCACGTGCTGACTTGCGTCAGCGTGCGCCGTCTCTATTTTCAACTTTCCCGCGCCGTCCACCGTGACTGCCACCGTGACGAGTCAGATCATCACGGACCAGATCGTCACGGACCGGTTCGCCATGTCACTTTCCGACACTTATCGTGACGGCAATAAAACGGTGACAGGTGACGATCGGCAGTCCGGCTCCGGGCACCAGAGACGCGAGAGGCCCGCAGCATCGGCCGGACGACTCACCCTACCGACTTTCTGTGACCAGTCGCCGGTGACGGCACGTGACCGGCCAGCGGTTGGTGCTCTTAACAACTCGCAGTAGAAATTAGTTTGCTAAACCAGAGTGAGCTGCAAATGACCGCCACTTGACTCATCATCTGACAAGTCGAAATGACTCCCGATCGACACTTATCAGTAGTGACAACTGACAAACGACCGATGGCTTTCACGGAGGAGACGATTTATGGCTTCAAGCCAGACTTCTAAACATGACACGTTTTTGGGATGGCTTTCCGCAGATAGGTACATCGTTTCAAGTCGTTTGATATGATGTATCAAAGGTCAAAAGTCACCGCAGTACCTACTTGGTCGCTTTTGTTCTTTATATTATCCCATACACTGTGAATTATGTACCCAATGGTACATACCTACCAGGCTACCAATCTAATGACAACCAGCATTGGAGCGAGGCTCATGTCTGTAGTTTTTAATACAAAGAGCACGCGGTGAAAAGTGTGCCCGCGTTGAAAATATTCTCGTCACCCTGACCGGTCCCTCACGGCTCCCTACTCATCTGGTGGTCACTGTTTCGACTGAGACACCAGTGACGGTGGCCAGGTGGCCAGGAGAGCCACTGACCCATCTCGGCCCGGGCAGCCGACAATGAACGGCTTCCCAGGACAGCTCACAGCTGGCTGAAGCCTTTCAGAGAGAAAGGGATGCCGTCACCATGGGCTGACATCTAAATCGACTGATTGCGAAATACATCGTGCTGCATATGGACATTGGGCATTGTTCTTACGCAGTTGTATACCACCGAATCGTGGTCTAAATCAGCCATCAACTTGGGAAACAAACGCTCCGTACGATTTGGAAATCGTCCACTATTCTCCGTCTGCCAGACGCTCGTTCCCAAGGACATACTCTGGCCAATGGATATGGGAAGTAAATACGGCTTACGGCTGAAACCTGCAGTGTGGTGCCCAATTGAACATCTCATAATCTCATAGCACCTTTCTGACAGCACTACGTTCGGCGAAATCGGACATCGAGTGGCCGGGTCAAGCCGATGTGACCCGCCGTCACGCCCCCCCCCCCTCCGCCAGTGACGCGGCACGGCAGATGGTCCCGGTGAAACCCGGGCGGCAGTTGCAGTGCGCTGTTATTAGCGGCCTGTCCGTATACCGTCGTGACGGGGACGGCACAACCCTGACGGCAACACGACCGCGCCGGGCTGAACAAACGCACGGTATATAGCATGGGTGGGGCCGGGCAAAGACATTACAACCATTGGTGGGTGGGACGGGACTAACCATAGACCTCTACATACAACTGAAGGTCTGTGAAGGTCTATGGACTAACACACTACAGCATTGGTGGGAGTTGGGACAAGACAAACACATTGCAGCAATTGGTTATACGGGAGTAACACATTACAACATTGGACGGAGGACCAGTTATGACGGATAAAACTGGGAGACTGGCGACGGATATCGGGTGGTCGCACAGACAATATGCCAGATACCCCGAGCTATTTATTTGGGATGGCAAGCTTTGGGAATAACATTTTAGTGGCGGTTCACCTACCATCCGAAGACATCCCATGTAATGAAAGTGGCATTCTCAAGCCTTTCTTTTTACGCCTGCTGCTTGTAAGATTAGCTCGACCTGCTACAATCTTATGCTCTTGTATGGCTGAGCAGTCATGTCTGGACATTGCAGTGCTTCGTTTGTTGAGCGCAGAGATCAGACCGATCAGACAGGATCCGCCCAACAATTTCGAGCCGGTGGCACCGCCTGCAGGCTGCAGTGGTGCGGTGACATTTGTCATTGTTGTATGATCGATGCCATGCCTGGCAAGTGATCCACCATTTTTACCAATGAACCATAAATATGCATGCTGTAGCACCAGCAGCAGTGACCCAATCGTCACGACTCACAGTAATGTTGTAGGCACTGTTGTGGACTGAATGACCATTGGCCATCTATGCTAAAGTTATCCACAATAGTCCGCTATTGCCCCCAGTCGCACGGTGTTAGGATCACTGAAGGCAAAATTTGGTTACTATAAAACAGATTATGAGAAACTGTATACACATACAGTTAGACATGCGTCGCATATACTGCATTGGCATTCACATTGGCACTTATGAAGTTAAACAGCGTGACACTGTTGACATTTGCCAAATTGGCTTTTATGCAATTGTAGTACTCGATGTCTAAATGTAACTGCATCGACATATGTATGTGTCTCTATAACATACATAAAACAGATGTATTTTAAACCAACTTTTCATTGCCCTGGCGTCCCCAGCCTAACGACACGGCGTACGTGCTTCTGGCGGGCTTCGAGCACGGCCAGACCAGCGACGATGACGTGCTGCCGGCGCCGGCCGCGCCGCTGCCGCCCCCGGAGCCGCCCGCCTGTCCGGTGGAGTTCACCAACGCCGGCGTCATCATCAACGGCCAGTCCAGCCTGCGCCGCCAGCCGCGGGGGAGCACGGTGAGCGCTCATCGGCCCGGCCTTCACCGGGCGCGGACCGGAGCAGCGACTGGGGGTGACACGTTTCTGTGTAGGCACAGGGGCGGGCAAATAACTATATGTAAGGACATTTTTTTTTTTTTAATTAGAGCAATATAAAGCAAGCATTAACACACGCAGTGGAAGGGTTCCGAGAACCACGCCCAGTCCTCCAATGGGGGGTGGGGGTGGGGGGGGGGCCAATGCCGCCCCCCTAAGATCTCAGCTTCCATGGTAGCTAAAACGACCAAATGTGGAGGATTGTGTGTTAATTTCATGACACTATAGGTCAATATCTTCAAGGTCAAATGAGGTCAAACGCGGTCAAATTTGCCGTATAAGGGACTACTTTGTGCTTACCCGCTCATAAATCAAAAAGTTTTAACGTAACAAAAAAGACCGATTTTATTATTTGTTTCACTATACGGCAGTAAACCTATACATTTTTGAGGATATTGATAATCTCTAGCTACTCCAACCATAAAATGTCAATCAGAGACCAGTTTTACCAACAGAAAAATAGCCGCGTGCCGGAATTTTTTGCCTAAAAACCGCTTCACATACGGTCGGATCGTAAATGGTAAAGCCCTATCCGCTTGCGTGCCCAGCGCGTTTACGCTCCGTATGTGAAGCGGTCTTTAGGCAAAAAAAATCCGGGCAGGCGGCTACCTATTTTCCTGTTGGTAAAACTGGCCTCAGGACCCAGCTAAAGGCCACCCCACACTGGAACTCGCATGCGGGTAGCGAGTTTTTTTTTGGGGGGTTGCGAGTTTCATACAATCTAAGCTGAGTGACCCACACTACCATCTAACAGGCGAGTCTGCATGTTTTTAGCTTGCACTGAAAACAAAATTACCCATGGGTGATGAGTAAACTCATGAACCGGCGGTAATTTTAAACAACCTATTTGACTGCTCGAGGCGCCGGTAATGTAACTAGGCCTGCACCGGTCATTCCACCTCTCAATTGTGCGTTAACTCATGTCTCTTCACTCGTGTATTATGAGTTAACCGATTGTGAAAAACTCATGTACTCTTGGTAACTCATTTTGAACCAAGCCTAAAAAAGTTTGCAATCATGTCCAGCCTGCAGTGTTTGTCAGAAAGATTTGAAACTTGGTGGATTGCATGCTGTTATGGGCGCCTACAATTTGTATATCTCGGATTTTTTATATCCGTGACCTAAGGTCAGGTCAGTGGCGTGACCATTCCATTACAAGTCAATGGAGAAAAATGAAAATGCCTCTAGATCCGTGTGTACGCATCGGAACAGTCCAGATATTTCAGAATCACAATGACTTAGTCCACTCGTGATGACGAAGGTGTCATTTTTGCTGATAGCCTCTAGACAGGTCATCCGAGGTCACTTGAGGCTACAAACAGTTTTTTGCCAATAACTCGCGATTGGAAAGAGATAGAACGCTGGGGATGGTCTCATTGTGTTTGTCTTGTTGAGACGCATCGACTGATATGCAACATGACCTTTTCCGGTCAGGTCATGACCTTAACCTGAGGTCAAATTTTCAAGTTGACCTTTCAAGGTCAAATTATAGTTCATTCCACGCGTTTCGGCGAGGGGAACACGATTCTGGCAATAGAAATGTCGTGGCTTTTTGTAGTCGAAAGTTATTGTCGAAAAACACTTTTCGTAAAAACAGCTATTTTTGGAGTTTTTGCCCTCTGAAGGCTAAACCGTTGACCTGAGGTCAATATTGATAATGACCTTTTCAAAAGAAGAGTTCAAAAGCTATCGTTTGCTCTTCCATGCGTTTTTCTAACTACCATAGTTCCTGAGATAGCGGCATGTTTTCTGAAAAATATAATGACAATTGGCAAATTTTGACTTTGATGACCTCTGGTGACCCCAATATTGCTCTAAGGTGAAAAATGACCGAAATACTTTCAAACGTACGCATTGAGAGCTATCGACTGCTTTTTACCGCGTCTTTCTAGCCCTCTTAGTTTTTGAGTTAGAGGTGGGTGTTAACATGTGCCCCCCCCCCCCCACTAGGGCGAAGTTGGCTGAGACCGCCACTGGGGCGCGGGTTAATTAGATCAAAAGTTATAAGCGAAAAACTTTTGACCTGTTTTAAGCGAAATTTCTACATTCATACCCCCCAAAAGCCCCCTAAATATTGACCGAGAGCAACCAAATTTGCACTTGGGTGAGACCTCCAGGGGGACCACCTACCTACCAAATTTGGTGTTTCTAGGTGCCATAGGAGTCAATCACGAGGGGGGGTCGCTTCGACCCCCGCCCCCCTCCCCCCGCCAGGCCGTGTTATGAAAAATGCCCTGCCAGGGCGAGGGTTAAGTCGGTGTTAAGCTTTCAAAAGCGTGGTACAGTGCACGTGCCGTCTAAATGCCTGGATGTCTCGATTTAATCACGCAATGTAGCAGGTACGGGGAATATGTTGCCTCAATAATCAATATTGCCTTGCATAATGAATGCTCGCTTTGTCCGACCAGATCAATACGAGGGTTGGACAAAATAAAATCCGCAGCATCGTGGCCCAGTTTGCCCTCTAAACGCCTTTGATCCACTCCCCCTCTGTATTTTTAATCATCACGCTCGCTTCATTAGTGCGTTAGGTACATACTGTGGCCGTTCTGTCCACAATCGCAATGCTTTTCGTGTCGCTTGACAGGCGATCATTGTGTTCCCCGTTTTGGCCACCGCCCTTCTAAGGGCCGGCCGACGCCCAACCTCTTTGGTACCTACACAAACTTTGTTCTGTCGTTCAATAGGTACAGCATTCTCGACCTGGCTGACCCACGCGCATGAGCTCTCCAACACTTATCCCGGCGGCCGCTGGGCCTCCGCGCCACCCGCCGGCCGCTGGGGGGGGGGCATATAGTTGCCCCCCCCCTTTACTTCTGCGACGCTATCGTCGCAACGCGACGAGATAGAGAAGCGAAACTTTGCACACACTTTCCTGAATACCTAGCCGAGGTTGTGTCCAAATTTGGTGTCGATCCCATTTGAAATGACGTCACAGTGGCGTCATAAGTGAAATTATAGATTTGCGACTCTCGTATTCCTCACGATACATCAGATATATGGGACCGAATATAAAGGGTCGATTATTGGTCAGAAACTAGATGGAAGTGTAGTTAGATGATTTAGGATGACAGCAGGTGCTATCTAGTTCATTTACAGTTGAGTTTCATGCTCAGCGTCATCAGAAACGGTCCATATCGGAAAACGACAAAACTTTATGACGTCACTGTGACGTCATCTTAGGTGCTACAACCACCAAACTTTCCTCAAACATTGCCTAGGTATTCATTTGAAGCTATGCCAAGTTTCACGTTCGTAGCTCATCAGGCTTCGGAGATATTTCACAAAACGTAAAGGGGGGGGGGGGCAACTTTATGCCCCCCCCCCCCCAGCGGCTCGTGGGTTATAATTCAAAATGTTACCGGGCACCGGCCGTTTTTTGGTATTTCTTTGACTTAAGATTGCCTGTAGATTTCTATACAGAAATCCTGACGCGAAGCGATCATATCATATTATCGGCCCGTGCATTTGACATATAATATTAACTTTGTATTAGGCACAATGGTATTGGAGCAACTGAGCCTACATAAATCGGCCTCTAACTATGATCACGTCATGATGTATTTCTACGAATTCAGGCCGGATCGATGCCTGAACCGCTCTCGCTCGTTAGGTCACCTTTTGATCGTCCATTCCTCAAAGCGGTCATCCTTGTGAAATGATCACCCTGACCACTGATAACTGGGAATACAGCTGTGTAGTACTCGTACATACGGTGTCCGTCCGAGTCTCCGTGCCGCCGCCCGTTATGCCTATAGTGTAAGTACCGGTAGTGGCTCGTTGATACAAGTAAGCCACCGACTGACCCGCCCCGGATCAGGGAGTGCTGAGCTGTCTCACCCTGATCCGGTTATCTGGTCCTGCCCGGCTATCTTATCGTCGACAGTGACAGAAATCAGGTGGCTGCTGTCAGCTCGCCTTGCAGCGATCGCAGTGTGACTGAGGTCATAGTCTTGTAGCTGTACTTACACCTGCCGGTGACCTGGGATCACAGTTCACTATGTGTGCTTTTGAGCATAACGTCGACACTGTAAGACGGGCCTGGAGGGATGGGACAGGAGACAAATGCTCCTATAAAACTTCGCTCTGAAAAACGAGTGATGGCTAATAATTGATAGTACCTACATCATCTTACTGAACTTCTATGTGTTTCACTCTCTCATGAAGTTTAGTGCTATAACGGAACTATTGCCTGCAAAAATATCAGCACATCATATAATTACTGTGTATGTATGCAACGTTTGTCTGCAGAGGACGAATAAATGAAAATTTGACCAGAAGCGTTTCAATTCAAGTTTAATTAGACACACTGCCTCCACGTAGATGAATAAATTACCTACATTCAGACATAGGCACGGGAACCGAGGGGGGGGGGGGCAGCTTGCCCTCCCCCAACTCTGGGGCCGTGGGGGCGGTGCCCCCACAACTTTGAGACGGAATACCCCACTTGTTTTGCAAATGTTTTTTTTTTAAGCCAAGGGATGAAAAATAAGTGGCCTAAAACCGGCGAGAAAACTAGAACTAGAACTAGATTTAAACTAGCCTATGTTGATCTTTATTATGGTGTGCCTAGTGCCTACCCCCCCCCCCCCTCCTCCAGTCTGAAAGTAGTTCCCGCGGGCCGCGCCCCTGCGTTCAGACGATCCAGGAGCATGACGAATGTGGTTCTCTTACTTCGGTATACCTAACTGATTTTGGAAAGCATCCATAGATGGCAGCACTAGTGAACACTTGCATGTAGGCTGTGCCGCAGAGCATAGGGACAGCGCGATGAGCATTTTCTCATCCCGGCCTACGCAATACGCATTCTCCACAAACCGCCAGGGAAATCCGAATCTGCTTTCAGCACTTGGCCTGCCTTTGTCACCTGCCTGACTCGGTGCTATATCGTGTCGTCTGGTTTGATCATTGATTGATTGTCCCCCTCCCTTCCCGTTTGTCGCCTCGTTCGGCCACTGACCGCCCTGTTGTCACCTGGTTCGGCCCCTGACCGCCCCCCCCCCCTGCTGCAGCGTGCCGTCTGGTTCAGCCAGCTCAGTCCGCGGGTGTTTCGGTACCCCTCTGAGTCGACACTACTGGAGGCACAACCTCCGGAGCCGGAGGCGCCCCGGTCTGAGACGGAGGCCACCACCGGCTCTGACGAGGACTGGGACGGGACGGAGGAGAGCGACCGGCCGGCACCCTCCCAGAGACTTCTCGGCTCCTCGCTGCCGGCCAACCCCGCACCGAAACCCTCCAGTAAGGCGTATCGAGGGCTGGGAGAGGTGGATGTCAGCGGCAATGGAACAGACCCCGTATCCCTATATCTAATTTTTGTTATTGTATTTGGTGAAGGCACTTACCAAAGGGACTGGACAACATTCTCTAAATATGGTTCTTGTCACAAAGATTGTACAGCGTCGATATTTTCGAGGGCCCCAATTTTTGTTTGTGTCAGAAGAATCAAAGTCTTTTTCAGAGCAAAATGTTTGGTAGTCAAAACGGAATCGAACGAAATGGGTACCAAGTACCAACCCAGTCGACACACTACACAGAACTGACAGAACCAGCCCAACACCCACGTGTCGAAAAATGACCCTTCCTCGCGTTGCGGAGCTAGCGGGTCGCCCCTTCCATTCTCATTTCTCAGAAATTCATTTTGAATTTTTGACGAAACTGACGACAATTTACAGATATATACCAAGTGTACAGAGGAAGCAAACGGCACAAGCCGCACCTCCTAACTCCAGTGGGCTTTTCGGCGGCCAAGACCCACAGAACTTTCCAGGGCAAGCCAGTTGCTGACAGTATGATACCAGTCGTAGAAACTATGGCATAATAAGCTTTATCCTGATGTGGTAGATAGCCCGAATAGCTAGATAGCCGTTATGTGATGTTAAAGGGACCCTCCCACCTTCAAAAAAGTTAATGAATTGGCATGAAAGTGATGTCCCTTGGTTCAGAAAGAGCGAAAACGAATATCTACCAAATTTCACCGAAAAATATTCACTGGTTTTCAAGATATTAGGCTTTTACTTTTGTTTACTTTTTGGGATCTCCCCTGTTACTAGCGACTTTATTTGGAAGCAATAATTTGGCAGCCTTAAAGTGCGGCAGACGTTGCGCGCAAAGCAGCGTATACCACCACGTGTTAACGATGGTTTTAGTCTAAGATTTAAAAATCGTTAGATCTCCGCTGACGTCACAAATTCTAAGGGGGCATTCCAATGCATTAGCCCCTTAGAATCCGAAAACTGCAAGTTTGAAATTCCATATCTTCGAATTAAAGCATTTTTCGATGTTGTGAGTGCCCAAACCGGTATTTGCAGGCCATGGCCACCAATTTGGCTATCTCAACTCAAAACTAATGTTAAGGTGGGAGTGTCCCTTTAATTTGTCAGCAGCTACAGCGACATGTCACACTAATCCGTCCTTACATTCCTAGTGGATTAACATATGTGCAAAGAATCGGTAGATACTACTGTAGAAGTTTCGAAGTAGCTGGAACTAAACAGATGGAAAGATTTTACTAGGTATATTGCACAATGCACTTAGGAGCTACGGAATTCGATCTACGCATGTCCATAAAGTTAGTGTCGTATTCGTATTCGGATTCAAATTCGAGTAATGATTTCGCTCAAAATATGCATACAGATAGCCCATGGCACGCTGAGTTCGAAAATGGTGACCTTTTTTTCCTAGGTCAAACCGTTTGACCTTGAGAGGTCAAAATACTGCGTACCCTGTAGAATCTTTGTTTATGGTCCGATTTGAAAAATTCGACCACCAGTGTGTTCGTCTCATCGAGAAGCAGTAGCACATTCAAAAAATCCGAGGTCAAGGTCATAGGGCAAGGTCAAGGTCACTTTAAAAATCGCCGTACCCTATAAAATCTTCATTTTTGGAGCTATCGGAAAATTTCGGCCACCACTGTGTTCGTCTCATCGAGAAGCAGTAGCACATTTGAAAAAAATCGAGGTCAAGGTCATAGGTCAAGGTCAAGGTCACTTTAAACGTTAATTTTAGTCCCCGTACCCTGTAGAATCTTTGTTTATGGTCCGATTTAAAAATTTCGGCCACCACTGTGTTCGTCTCATCGAGAAGCAGTAGCACATTTGAAAAAATCCGAGGTCAAGGTCATAGGTCAAGGGCAAGGTCACTTTAAACGTTAATTTTAGTCCCCGTACCCTGTAGAATCTTTGTTTATGGTCCGATTTGAAAATTTCGGCCACCACTGTGTTCGTCTCAACGAGAAGCAGTAGCACATTCGAAAAAAGCCGAGGTCAAGGTCATAGGTCAAGGTCAAGGTCACTTTAAACGTTAATTTTAGTCCCCGTACCCTGTAGAATCTTTGTTTATGGTCCGATTTGAAAATTTCGGCCACCACTGTGTTCGTCTCATCGAGAAGCAGTAGCACATTTGAAAAAATCCGAGGTCAAGGTCATAGGTCAAGGTCAAGGTCACTTTAAACGTTAATTTTAGTCCCCGTACCCTGTAGAATCTTTGTTTATGATCCGATTTGAAAATTTCGGCCACCACTGTGTTCGTCTCAACGAGAAGCAGTAGCACATTCGAAAAAATCCGAGGTCAAGGTCATAGGTCAAGGTCAAGGTCACTTTAAACGTTAATTTTAGTCCCCGTACCCTGTAGAATCTTTGTTTATGGTCCGACTTGAAAATTTCGGCCACCACTGTGTTCGTCTCATCGAGAAGCAGTAGCACATTCGAAAAAATCCGAGGTCAAGGTCATAGGTCAAGGTCAAGGTCACTTTAAACGTTAATTTTAGTCCCCGTACCCTGTAGAATCTTTGTTTATGGTCCGATTGGAAAATTTCGGCCACCACTGTGTTCGTCTCATCGAGAAGCAGTAGCACATTTGAAAAAATCCGAGGTCAAGGTCATAGGTCAAGGTCAAGGTCAATTTAAACGTTAATTTTAGTCCCCGTACCCTGTAGAATCTTTGTTTATGGTCCGATTTGAAAATTTCGGCGACCACTGTGTTCGTCTCATCGAGAAGCAGTAGCACATTCGAAAAAATCCGAGGTGAAGGTCATAGGTCAAGGTCAAGGTCACTTTAAACGTTAATATTAGTCCCCGTACCCTGTAGAATCTTTGTTTATGGTCCGATTTGAAAATTTCGGCCACCACTGTGTTCGTCTCATCGAGAAGCAGTAGCACATTTGAAAAAATCCGAGGTCAAGGTCATAGGTCAAGGTCAAGGTCACTTTAAACGTTAATTTTAGTCCCCGTACCCTGTAGAATCTTTGTTTATGGTCCGATTTAAAAATTTCGGCCACCACTGTGTTCGTCTCATCAAGAAGCAGTAGCACATTTGAAAAAATCCGAGGTCAAGGTCATAGGTCAAGGTCAAGGTCACTTTAAACGTTAATTTTAGTCCCCGTACCCTTAGAATCTTTGTTTATGGTCCGATTTGAAAATTTCGGCAGCCACTGTGTTCGTCTCATCGAGAAGCAGTAGCACATTCGAAAAAATCCGAGGTCAAGGTCATAGGTCAAGGTCAAGGTCACTTTAAACGTTAATTTTAGTCCCCGTACCCTGTAGAATCTTTGTTTATGGTCCGATTTGAAAATTTCGGCCACCACTGTGTTCGTCTCAACGAGAAGCAGTAGCACATTCGAAAAAAGCCGAGGTCAAGGTCATAGGTCAAGGTCAAGGTCACTTTAAACGTTAATTTTAGTCCCCGTACCCTGTAGAATCTTTGTTTATGGTCCGATTTGAAAATTTCGGCAACCACTGTGTTCGTCTCATCGAGAAGCAGTAGCACATTTGAAAAAATCCGAGGTCAAGGTCATAGGTCAAGGTCAAGGTCACTTTAAACGTTAATTTTAGTCCCCGTACCCTGTAGAATCTTTGTTTATGATCCGATTTGAAAATTTCGGCCACCACTGTGTTCGTCTCAACGAGAAGCAGTAGCACATTCGAAAAAATCCCAAGTCAAGGTCATAGGTCAAGGTCAAGGTCACTTTAAACGTTAATTTTAGTCCCCGTACCCTGTAGAATCTTTGTTTATGGTCCGATTTGAAAATTTCGGCCACCACTGTGTTCGTCTCATCAAGAAGCAATAGCACATTTGAAAAAAAATCCGAGGTCAAGGTCATAGGTCAAGGTCAAGGTCACTTTAAACGTTAATTTTAGCCCCGTACCCTATAAAATCTTCATTTTTGGAGCTATCGGAAAATTTCGGCCACCACTGTGTTCGTCTCATCGAGAAGCAGTAGCACATTCGAAAAAATCCGAGTTCAAGGTCATAGGTCAAGGTCAATGTCACTTTAAACGTTAATTTTAGTCCCCGTACCCTGTAGAATCTTTGTCTATGGTCCGATTTGAAAATTTCGGCCACCACTGTGTTCGTCTCATCGAGAAGCAGTAGCACATTCGAAAAAATCCGGGGTCAAGGTCATAGGTCAAGGTCAAGGTCACTTTAAACGTTAATTTTAGTCCCCGTACCCTGAAGAATCTTTGTTTATGGTCCGATTTAAAAATTTCGGCCACCACTGTGTTCGTCTCATCGAGAAGCAGTAGCACATTCGAAAAAATCCGAGGTCAAGGTCATAGGTCAAGGTCAAGGTCACTTTAAACGTTAGTTTTAGTCCCCGTACCCTGTAGAATCTTTGTTTATGGTCCGATTTGAAAATTTCGGCCACCGCTGTGTTCGTCTCATCGAGAAGCAGTAGCACATTCGAAAAAATCCAGGGTCAATGTCATAGGTCAAGGTCAAGGTCACTTTAAACGTTAATATTAGTCCCCGTACCCTGTAGAATCTTTGTTTATGGTCCGATTTGAAAATTTCGGCCACCAATGTGTTCGTCTCATCGAGAAGCAGTAGCACATTTGAAAAAAAACCGAGGTCAAGGTCATAGGTCAAGGTCAATGTCACTTTAAACGTTAATTTTAGTCCCCGTACCCTGTAGAATCTTTGTCTATGGTCCGATTTGAAAATTTCGGCCACCACTGTGTTCGTCTCGTCGAGAAGCAGTAGCGCATTCGAAAAAATCCGAGGTCAAGGTCATAGGTCAAGGTCAAGGTCACTTTAAACGTTAATTTTAGTCCCCGTACCCTGTAGAATCTTTGTTTATGGTCCGATTTAAAAATTTCGGCCACCACTGTGTTCGTCTCATCAAGAAGCAGTAGCACATTTGAAAAAATCCGAGGTCAAGGTCATAGGTCAAGGTCAAGGTCACTGTAAACGTTAATTTTAGTCCCCGTACCCTTAGAATCTTTGTTTATGGTCCGATTTGA